ATGCTGTGTTTCTGAGTGTTTTATGTGCTGCAGAACAGGAACCTGCTGTAAAACAGCAATTATGCTGAGTCAGGCTTGATTTTTAGTAATCTTTTCCTGTTAAATAAATAAATCAAATCAAATCATTTACAACAGATCTAAACCTTTTTTGCCATGAAAGATAAGATGCTTGTTATCAAATAAAGTCATAAATGTTCACAATCTGTATGTACTTTTGATAGGCTTAGAAAACGTTGTATTTCATCCGGGCATGTAACTTTGACAAATACATTCATTAACTTTTACAGAAATATGAAATTGATGTTAACTATAAGTCTTTATTTCCGACTGTGGATTTTTGCAGATGATGTGATGTTATACATCATGGATGGGTAACTTAAATGACAGAAGTGGTCACAATTTTTTGTTGATACTACCAGAGGTCCACTGCTACACACTTACCCAAATGTAAACAAACTACCATTAAAAAATGTTTTTCTTATATATATGTCTATTAAACCAATATACAGTGCAGTAACATAGTTCATGCTCAAATATAAATATAACAATTGTACTCCTGTTTAATAAATACAAATTCAAAATGCTTGAAGCTAACAAAAAGTAAACACTTTTGCAAGCTGAAGTGCAACAGCATAAGATGCCTTGAGTGCAGACTCCAGCGTTGTTGTAGTTTTGGTAAAATGTCTCTGTTGTTGTGACTTCAGTAAACTTCTCATATTTAGCTTTGTGCAACGTGTTATAGTGGTGACTTGCATTACAATCTTTCATGGCAGACAGCACCTCTGACTAAACACAAAGTTTAGAAATTCTGTGAACAGATAGAGTACCTCCCATTTTACCCGACAGATTCTCTGTCCAGTTTTCTTTCCTCCGTTATTAGCCGTGGCTAAAYGTCCACAATGGTAGAGAAGAGGTGTGCAAGGTGGGTGTCTGTTTTGGAGGTGCCATCTAGTGGCAAACCTTGTCATTACAACCAATTCAGTGCCACTAAGACTTTATGCATTTTTGAAATTTTCAAAAATTAATCTAAGTGCTGCTTTGAGTGTTTGTTTGGTTCTTTAAGTAAAGTAAGCCCACCTTATTGGGTCTCTAATTACTCGTCCCTGTTATATATGACAGTTCCAGTTACGACCGTCTGTGTTTAAAATCAAGGAGCAGCCTTTCAATCTTCTTAACCAGATTAAAGTAGCTTCCTGAATTAAAACTTCTGCCCACTCTTGTTTTGCAACATGTATTTTATGTAACCTCCAGATGAACCGGCCATTCTGGAGACACAGAACCTAGATCCTAACGGCATGTTAGGCCCAGACCCTGACACCATCTCTCTGGCCTCTGTCACGGCCGTCACCACAAATGTATCCAATAAAAGGCAAGCGTGATTCTGAGTGTCTTTATTTCAAATAATTAAATTGCTATTGTGCATTTATCTAAAGACTTGGATCGATTCTGACTCTTTGTTGAACAGATCTAAACCAGACATTAAGATGGAGCCCAGTTCTGGAAGACCAGTGGATTACCAAGTAAAACATAGTCCTGTAAATAGACTGTACATGGGAGTGAACAATGTTTGGTGATTTTATTAATTCGACCATATTGTTTCAGGTCAGTGTGACTGTGATTGAAGCCAGACAGCTGGTGGGACTGAACATGGATCCAATGGTCTGCGTAGAGATTGGAGATGATAAAAAGTACACCTCCATGAAGGAATCCACTAACTGTCCTTACTACAATGAAGTAAGTTGGTTGATAGAGTTCATTCCAGCTAATTTTACTCACAAAACAAAGTTAATAAATGACAACTGTTGCAAACTTTTGTCTTCTCCAGTATTTTGTGTTTGACTTCCACATTCCTCCAGATGTGATGTTTGACAAAATCCTGAAAGTGTCTGTAAGAACTTTTTTAGAGTCCGTTTTAAATGATTATTCTAAAGACCAGCTTGGTCAAAGTTGCAGCTTAATTTATTCGTTTATTTATTTGTTAAATCTACATTTAGGTTATCCACTCCAAAAATCTTCTGCGCAGTGGAACACTTGTTGGGTCTTTTAAGATGGATGTTGGCACCATCTACTCTCAGCCAGGTAAACAGTCAGCAAATATCTACATTATTGTCAGTTTAAATCAGGCGTCGTCACATATCTTGTCTCTTTATTTTTATTTTATTTTATTTTTTTACAGAACATCAGTTTTACCATAAATGGGCCCTATTGTCCGACCCAGACGACATCACAGCAGGGTGTAAAGGTTACGTTAAATGTGACATTGCAGTTGTGGCTAAAGGG